AACCATGCACTCCACCCAGGGGCCAAGGCACTTTATAGTAAATGCTTTTTCAATGAATGGGTGGGGATAGGATGGATAAGCAGCCTGACCCCATAAATCCCAGACTGGATGCCCACTGCCCCGGCTTCATTACTAATCATGCCCCCCTGACCCACTTCACTTTCAAAGGTATACACATTGAGATAAGAAGTTACATGGCTGCCCTTGTTATAAATAGGACCATACCTGTCTATCAAAACCTCCAAAGACAACCAGGGACCAAAGAAAACATAGTCCACCTGGAGCAGCCGGAGGAACCAGCTAAGTGAAGGGTTAGAATGAATGCATCCCCCACAGGCGGCTTCTAAGTACCCACCTCTCAGGAGGTCTCCCTCCCGATCAGGGCGGTGCCAGGAGTCGCTGGAGCAGAGTCAGCCTTGAAACACTTGAAGAATTGTTCATAGCGATATAAAAGTTCCACAGGAGTACTCTCGATCTCCCAGAGTGTGCCAGGGAAAGGACTTGGCAAAATTGGAATTTACTTTTAGAAAACTAGTGATCGAAAGTCAGAAATCGAACCTCTGGTTTCTCTTCATCTGATAATATTTTGATAAAGAAAATATGACATCTTCATCTTCTAGATCTTCCAAATGAGGGGCGGGGGGGAACGGGGAGTATGGGTTCTAGAATAAACCTACAGGAATGAAAAGAAGAAGAAGAAATGGAAGTGTTCCTTCCTTTCAACGCTAACATTCAACAAATATTTTCTGAGTGCATGACATTCATCCATATAATCTGTATACATAGAACGCTGCTGCTTTAGAGAGCACCCACGTATATGGGATTCATTGAACACCTACACTGTGCACCACTAGAACTGAACCATCTACAAGTAGGGTCTGATTGTGCAACACCACTAAACCAGAGCCTCTTCACAGTTGGTTCTCTGAGACGTTTATCTCCACAGAGTAGCAATCCTATTACACGACCTGGTTTAGATGACAACGTGCTTGCTTCTAGACTGGGGATCTCCAAACTCTTTTTCTCATTTCCATATTTAAATTAAAATTACCCATGTAATTTAAATAAACCAAAACCAACCCCACTGCTGTCGAGTCAATTCTAACTCCTAGCAACCTTACAGGATGGGGTAGAGCTGCCCTATAGGGTTTCCAAGGCTGTAAATCTTTACAACAGCAAAATGCCACACCTTTTTCTGTGCAGGGGTTGGGCCTTTTGATTGGCAGTTGAACGCTTTACCCACTGTGCACAGGGGCTGCTCCCATACATTTTTGTACCCCCACAAAGATGAAGTTAAATGTAAAGTTCCAGCATTTTTCTTCCTGCACTGCCGTGGATTCTTTCGTACCATCCACTTGGGGTATAATTGTCAAAGAGAGGACGGTGTCATAGCACCTCTTAGGAAAGTTGAAATAGATACTGTAAGGTTACCAGTTCAAACCTACCAGCTCCTGGACAGGAGAAAAATGGGACTGTCTGTTCCTGTAAAGATTTACAGCCAAAGAACCCCTATATAGGATCATGATGAGTTAGGATCGACTAGATGGCAGTGGATTTGGGTTTTATTTATTTGCTTGCTTGTTTAATCACAAGGCATTTAAAAGTCAATAATAGAGGGGGAAATATATATGAGCTCAGAATAAGAAAAGAAATTAAGAAACCAAATGTTGGTTGTAAAGAAAAAGAGAGACAGAAAGGATAATAAATCCAGGGTGCCATATGGCACTGATGAACTACATAAATATCCACTAATTCTTTAATATTTCTCACCCCCCTATTAGGGTTATTATTTGTTTTACCTCATTAAGCATGTTAGATTTGCATATGTTCATTTATATATTTAAGATTGTTCGGTACATGAAAGTCAAGATAGATAACCCTACTAAAACAGTAACAAGAGTATTAGTTCCCTGAAGGTACGGAAAGAGAGTGGAGGTGGGGAATGAGGAGCTGATAGCATTGATAATTGTGTAACTCCACTTTATGGGATTGAATAACAGAGTTGCATGGGATTGGATATATTGGAGTGTGCAAAATATGTCAATAAACCTATTATAATTTAAGAAAAAGAGCGATAAAGTAAATATCCTTAAAGTTAAAATATCCCACCCATTAAAATACATCAGAAAGAAACTGAAAGTGCCAGCCACAAACTGGGAGGAACCACACACGTGATCCATCGAAAAAGCCTGTAGGAGGGGGTATTCCACCACCCCACCCCCAAAATGGGACAAGGCTTCACTGGGCAGAGCTTTCATAGGACGCATTTTTTTCCCCACTACAACAAGCACCCAGCAACTCTCTGAGTTAGTGCACCCAGTGGCGTCACCTGGGAAGGTTCTCTCTGGTCACAGTGAACTTTTTCATAAAAGCAGTTTCACTTGCCCCTCATTTTCTGTGATGGCTGATTTAAGAGAACAGTGTGCAGCTGTGAGCAGGAAAATTTTGTTTCCTGCTCAGGAAAAATACCACAGAAACTGTTGTGATGTTGAGCCCACCTTACAAGGGCAGCACTATGGGAAAAACTCAAGTGTACAAGTGGTTTTCTCATTTTAAAAAGATGAAATTTAAATTGATGACAAACCTCATTCTGGACATCCATCAACTTCTCGAATGGACTAAACTGTTGACTTCTAGTGCATTTGGAGTTTGTTCTACCAGGTCAGACTGTTAATCAAGCTTTCTGTTTAAAGGTTCTGAAAAGATTTCATAAGAGTGTGTGGCAAAAAGAGGCCCGATTTATGACAGACGGAAGACTGGTTTGGCCACCACGACAATGCACCTCCTCACACAGCCATCTCAGTGTGCCAGTTTTTGGCAAAAAGCAGGATGCCTCTCTTGCCCCATGCACCTTACTCACCTGACTTCACTCTCTGCAACTTCTTTTTGTTTCCTCGAATGCAGAGGGACATGAAAGGACAACAATTTTATTACTTATAAGAAGTGAAGAAATAAATGAGGGAGGTGCTATCAGCCATCCAAACAGATGAGTTTGAAAAAAATGTTTCCAGAAATGGAATCACAGATTTGACACATATTATGTATAAAGGAGAGTACTTTGAGGGTGATAAGTTTTAAAAAAACTTATACATAGCTTTTTAAAAAAAATACATAGCTTTGAAAAAAAATCCTGGGTTTTTTGTTTTTAGTACCCCCTTGTATACAAAACTGATTGTGGTGATGACTGTACAGCTCTTCTTGATGTGATTGAACTATTGCATCATATGCTACGTGAAATATATGTCAATGAAGCTGCTGGGGGGAGAAGCCTGCACACAGAACATGTGACGGATGCCTAAGAGCAGTTAGGAATGAACAAGCAATGCCAGTGAAAAGCGGTCTAGGAGCTCAGCCAAGAGGTTTCCAATCTGGAGAAGGGGCCATCTCCAATGATAATCAGGGAAATCCCAAAGGAAACTCTAATGAGCGAGCACTCCCTGCTCACCAGAACTTAACACCATGGTCCAGAGGGCTGGTGAAGTGGTGGGGCATTCTCCAACAGAAGCCCACTGCCACAGACTCCTTTCCAACTCACAGTGACCCTACAGGGCAGGGCACAACCGCCACTCGCGGTTTCAAGGCGTGAGTCTTTGCAGCGGGAGAAAGATGAGACTTTCTGCGCCTATAAAGAGTTACCATCGCAGAAACCCACAGGGGCCGTTCTGTCCTGTCTGTAGGGTCATTGTGAGTCAGCATCGACTGGATGGCGGTGAGGTTTTGAGAGGATTTTTTTGAAATCTTTACAGGATCAGGCAGCCTTATCTTTCTCCCTGGGAGTGGCTGGTGGATTTGAGCCGCTGACTTTGTAGTTAGGAGCACCACCAAGGCCCCTCTGAAACACTCGATGGTCTCCTGGTGGAGTGAGTAAACATCATACAACTACTTTGAAAAATAGTTTGGGAAACACTACCTACCAGAGGCACACCACGGGGTCCAGCAATCCCATGTCTAGCTGTGTGCTCCAAAGAAATTAACACACATGTGCACCGAGATCGCTGCAGAAAAATGTTCAGAACAGAATGTTTCACACTCTCAGAAGAAAGGGCTACTCGTGGTATAATCCTACCATGACAGTCTATACGGTAATTGGGAGGGGGCAGGGATGAACCATGTTGATCGTCAGCAACATTTATGAATCTCACAGTACAAAGTCAAAATCTCACAGTACAAAGAAAAGTCCAAAAAATAAAACACAGTGTGCGTGACTTAGGTATAAAAGTGGGTTGTCTGGCCCCTCCAGCACCTGCGTATGTAAGCACCATGGGCTGCGGCTAAGGAAAGAAGTTGCAGTGTGGGCGTCCAATGGTTTCGACATGCAGTCCTCTGAGCATCCCCGAAAGCTCAGATGTTGCCATTGGCAACAAATGCTACCAATTGTTTCCGAAGTAGCCGCTTCACAAATGCTCGATTTGATAAAACATTGGCCGAGCTGCGTGAGCACAATTTGCCCGTCATTTGTCCAAATGAAGCTGGTGTTCTTGGAAACAAGAGGTGCATTCAACACAAAGCGACACACTCACACAGGTGCTTTTCCCGCGACAACCATCCGACAGGGATGTGGCACAAAGCAGGCCCGAGCAGTCTCGGGGAAGGCTCACAACCTGTGTTCTCAAGGGTTCTTCTGTGCTGCCAGCAAGTCACCGCAACTCCTGTCGACGGGTTTATGAAGGCCAAACACTATCGAGGAGTCTTATGCAAAACAAGCCTTTAAGAGAAAAAGACTTGGGACCAGGGTCCCGTGCGGAGTGCCCCTCGTCCCGGGAAACGGGGCGCGGCCGGAAAGGCGGCTGCCCCCTCGCCCGTCACGCACCGCGCGTTCGTGGGGAGCCTGGTGCTAAACCATTCGTGGACTACCTGCTTCTGGGTCGGGGTTTCATACGTAGCAGAGCAGCTCCCTCGCTGCGATCTTTTGAAAGTCAGCCCTCAACACAAGGGTTTGTAAAGAAAAAAAATAAAAGAAAAAGAAAAAAAAATAAACAAGAGAAAAAGACTTCACATACCTGGCAGTAAAGACTACTCCGTGTGTGCGTCACCTCCTGGAGTTGAGCTAAGGCAAGACCAGTGAGATCGTTAAAGTGTATTGGGCCAACCTGGCCGATAAACACATGTGGGGTTAATTGAAGGGCGGAGCGATAAATGACTGTGAGCTTTGCCTTTCTGGTTCTGGGGTCTCTTGCTTTGTGATGGTCGGACAGGGTGCAACTGCCTTAGCCAGTTCCTGCTTCAGCTTGTAAGGCTCACGTCCTGTGAGACATCCCTGAGGAGAAGCCACAGGGACCTACCCCGAGGTAGCCCTGAGTGCTGGAGCCACGTGGAGACCCCTGCCAGCGCTGAATGCTTACATTCTCACTGATTCATCTTTCCTCCTGCAGCCAGAATCATTGCGTGTGCTATGTGAGATGGAGGAGGACTTTGTGGATTGGTGTCAGACACATGGACTAACGGACTTATGGGCTTGGGCAGCACTGGGTTGGGATGCTTTCTTTAATAAATAAAACTCGCTCTTATACATATGAGTAACTAACTCAATCAGTCTTATCCAGCACTGCTTTTGCAACACCAGGGCAAGTGGCCTATACTGAAAAGGGTGGCTAGCATCTTAGCCGAGGGGGACTGTTTACTTTGTTCATGGGAGGGCCCTGCAGGACACTTGTCCCTCTCTGCTCAGGAAGACAGAGGTGTTTGAATGGTGGTGCAGTGCTTACGTCTCGGGCTGCTAACCACAAGGTCAGCAGTTCCAAATCACCAGCTGATGTTGGGGAAGAAAGTCAAGGCTGGGAAACCCACCAGGCAGTTCTATTCTGCCTGATGGGGTCACCGGGAGTTAGAATCAACTCACTGACCGTGAGTTTGCTTTTGAGTTCATGGGGTCACCACATTCGTGTGTGTGTGTGTTTCTGGGTACCCATGTTATGCCATTAAACAAAGCATTCCCTTTACACAGATCAGCACAAAGCTAGTTCCTATGAGGTGGAGGTTAAAGATGTCCCAAATGTTTAACTGTACCACTCCACCCTCTCCACCACCAACTACTTTCTCCCCGGCCCCCTCCCCCTCAGGCCTTTGGGCTCAGCAATTCACTGCAACATCTCACAGAACTCATGAACCATACAAGCAGTAAAGTCGTTTGTTTTTGTCCCCACCCCCCTATAGTCGTTTATTACAGAGGCAACGCAGGATCAGGAACGACTCTGAGGAACCAGGAGCCACGTGGGATCCAGTTGCTGCTCAGGACAGCTGACTGGCCATCTGCCTCTCAGAGGCTCTCAGGCCGGTGTTACAACTCCGCGGGTCAGCAAGCCCCCATGCAGCTGTCTCGCACCACGATCATGCCGGTTACAGCTGCACTGCCATCTTTCACAGTCGTCTGTCTCAGCTTTCTGTCCCTCTCCCGGACTCCCGTTAAGCCTAGTGGGATGGCAAAACTGGCCAGCCCCCTCCTTTGGGTTCCATAGACCTTATTTATATGGTCTCACCCCCCTCAAAGTACTTTGGACATGTTGTCGGGAGAGGCCTGTCCCTGGAGAAGGACATCATGCCCGGAAAAGCAGAGGTGCAGGGACAAGAGGGAAGCCCTTGACAGAGTGGCTGCAACGATGGGTTCAAACATTAGAACAATTGTGAGGCTGGCGCAGAATCGGGCAGTGCTTCGTTCTGTGGTTCACAGGGTCTCTATGAACCAGAACTGGCTGGACAACCCTGCACAACCACCCCCACAAGGGTCCCCTGTGCTTTATTTGCATTAGCAGGGAGCTATCTATTGGGCTACTAGGCACCTTAGTTGCATAGCCCCACCCAATATTGTGTAGAAGTCACTGTAGCTAAGAGTCAGAAGTCATTCGCAGCTCTGAAGGTGGACTATCCCTACGTGGACAGAGGGGAGGAGTTAGTCTCCAGACCTGGCCTTGGGTAACATGCCTGGGTCATGGGAGGGAGGCACACTCAGGTACGCGCGTCCCACCTCCAGCCTCTACGCTACTATTGGCTTTGTTGTCGGGAGGCTCTCAGCAGTTTCCCTGTGGCCCGAGTCCCTGAGTGGGGGCCCAGCCGCTAGGTGCACGGAGAGGGTGAGAGGTAATCCATGCCTTTAAACAGCCCTACTAGCCATACTCCCGCTTGCCAGGGCCATTTGGTGATGCATCGTAGGTCCCCCGTTGGAAGGGAATTCTCTGCGACAGGCACAGGCTGGGATGCATCTTAGGCTCTCCTTGACTGGAGGCTGTGACTTAAGTCACCACCACCACCCCCCCTTTGTTTTTCCTGGGGATCGGGTCGGAAAAACCACATCTCTATCAAGCCTGCCCACTCTTTCCTGACTGCTTTAACTTTAGGATATTTGTGGTTTCTGGCTCTGGGTCCTGTGTTTGACACACCTCTGCCTGACCTTCGGGACTTAACAGCACCTACCACTGCCTGAGACATTTCCTTAAAGTTTCTCAAGTTTCTGGGAGACAGCAAAGCACAGAACCCAAGGACATGAGGGACCACACTCAAGGGGGCGGAGATGGAGCAGAATAGCAATTTGGAAGAGTTGACATTCGATACAGTGTTCACTTCCAACTCTTTGGAACTAGTCAGGCCTTAATTTTCTAAAAGAAATGATTACCACAGAGGGGAAGCCCTCCAATGGTGAACAGAATGCTCAGCTCTCAGCATGCAGTCTATCTGGGCCCATCCGGTAGGAATAGATCACCGGAACTTTCTCCTGGGTGGACGCAGAGTATCAGCCTCTTGTTGAGCGGCCCCTCTTGTTCAGCGGCCTCTCTTGTTTACCGTTTGCCTCGCCCAGGGACTCATAGGGTGCAGCACGACAGCGACCCAGGCATGACCGTGAAGGTCAAGGGGACAAGCAACAGAGCTCCCAGTGGGAGCTCCCAAGAAAATCCTTTTCAACTCCTGGACTCTCTGGTTCTTTGTAAATAGCCATGTATCCATGTATCGTTCGTCATAGTGGGAAAAAGATAAGGAAAAACACACCCAGGTTAAATCTATTTCTCCCCTTCAAGACTTTTCATAGCCTGGTTCTGAAAATGCTACTTTTCCAGGGAACCCAGGCAGATAAACATCAATTAAGGAAATTGAGAAAGTCTGGGGATTGGATCTGAGTGAGGCCTGGGAGACGTGTTGGAGGCTGTGAGAGGCCCCTGGTGGGGCAGGGGTGGAGGGAAGGAGGGAAGAGCTCACCTGGGAGAACCACAGGGGCCGGTGGGATTTTAAGATGGTGTGACCACTACAGAAAATAGTAGGGTGTTTCCTCCAAAGGTCAGTTATAGAAATACCTTATGAGCTAGTGAGATAGTTAAGGCTTATTGTGCCAATCTGGCTGATAAACACATGTGGGGTTAATTGACGAGCAGAGAGATAAATGGCTCGGTGAGGCTCACCTTTCTGGTTCTCTGTCTCTTGCACTCTGATGGTTGGACCAGGGTGTGGCTGCGTTATCTAGTTCTTTGCCTCAGCTGGCAAGGTTCTCTTCCTGCGAGACATCCCTGAGGAGAAGCCACATGGACCTACCCTGATGCAGCCCTGGGTGCTGGAGCAGCTGTGTGGAGATGAGATACTTACACCGCCACTGGATCCAAAGACTTTCTACCCTCTAGTCTGTGATCCTCCTGCAGTCGGCATCGTTGTGTGTGTTTTGTGAGTTTGAGGAGAACGTTGTAGATCTGTGTCTAACATATACGCTAAGTTGGACTTAGGGGCTTAGACTGAACTAGGTTGGGATGCTTTCTGATTGTACACTTAGCCTATATTTAAAACTCTTATACATATGAGTTTCTGTGAATTTGTTTCTCTAATTTATCTACACTAACACAGCTAGCAACCCTGCTCCTAGGTATACGCCTTAAAGCAATGGTTCTCAACCTGTGGGTTGTGACCCCTTTGGGGGTTGAACGACTCTTTCACAGGGGTCGCCTGATTCATAACAGTAGCAAAATTACAGTGATGGAGTAGCAACAAAAATTCTTTTATGGTTGGGGGTTCACCACCACAGGAGGAATTGTATGAAAGGGTCGCAGCATTAGGAAGGTGGAGAACCACCGCCCTAACAAATGAGAGCCGTGACACAGACAGACATCTGCACACCCAGGTTCTTTGCAGCATTATTCACAATCACAAAACGGTGCAGACAGCCTAGGTGTCTGTCCACAGAGGAATGGACCACGGACATGTGGTGTGCAGATACAAAAGGATGATGGGTTCACAGACCGTTCCTGTTGGAGAGGAACCTGGAGGACATTGTGCTGAGTTCCCCTCCCTGAAAAAGTCCATCACCAAAGGATGAAGATTGTGTGATGTCGCCATTATAAAAAGTCAAGAATTGATGTACACGCCAAAATCAACATTCTGGGAGGGGGAGGAGTAAGAATTTACTAGATCCTAGAAATGTTCATTCTAGTGAAGGGAAATGCCATTGACGATACATGAGAAGTCAGCACAATGTGCCTTGGGTAAATGCAGACCGTGAGAGAGACACTCGAACAAAGGACAATGACAGCAAATACCACTACACAGAATGCTGGGGCAATAGCAAGGACAGCCAGAAAGTGACCAGTGGTTACTAGGGAGAGATGGCACAGGAGAATACATGTCTGTGTGTACATGTGAAGAAATCTGGGCATTTGTATATACATATTTGTATGTGCTGTACAGCTGTATGATAAAAGCACATAGGGCACAGTTATGGAAACATGTTAGATATGTCCAAAAACCTCATGAGACTGAGTTAGTAGATCTGAAAGCTAAGGACCATCATCTGGGGAGACATTTAAGTCAATTACTCATTGGACTGTTAACCATTAGGTCAGCAGTTCAAAGCCACCAGCTCCTCTGAGAGGGACAGACAGGGCTTTCTACTCCTGTAAAGGGTTCAGTCTCAGAAAGCCACAAGGGCAGTTCTGCCCTGTCCTGTAGGGTCGCTATGAGTTGGCATGGATTCGATGGCAGTGAGTGAGTGTGGCATAGTTCACAAAGATAACCTTCTGCAACCTAGTTTGGTGAGTAGTGTCTGGGGTC